ATCTATCTAAAATTTGCATTCTAGTCCTTTAAATCCTGTTTCTTTCATTTATTGAAAAAAATCCCAAACCTTCTAATAATACTGAAGCTTCAGGGTGTCATAATTCTCCTGTTTAGAAGAGTTTAGAGAATCCCGTGAACACTACCGCTTAATTCCAAAAAGATTTATAGCCAGGTCTAAGATGCATTAACAAAGGTGATACTTCGGATGAGGTCAACTAACTTACAGAAAAATTATTAAATGCATATAGCATAATCAATCTTAATAGGTTATATAGTCAAACCCCAGCTTCTAAAGTAAAATGACACTTGGCAAAAAATAGCAATCTACCCTTCTGTTCGAAAATCTACAGAAAGGGAAATTACATATCCTATACACTGGTAAGTATAGTAGTTAAGAAATTATTCAAATCCAAAATGCCTTTCCCAATTATAAGTCATCTATTCCTGTCTACCTTAGGATGCAGTGAAGGACAGTTATTAACTACTAGGACATTATCATTATTATCTCTTTAATGTTAAAACCTAAAGGAAGGTACCTTTTGTTTAGAAGCAGTTGATTACTACTTTACTTTAAACTGTATACGACCTGCGAGATGGTAACAGTAGTAAAGATAGCAACAGACTTGAAACGACATCCTCAATACCTCTGAAAGCTCAGGAGGATGGAGAACCAAGGCATTGTCCAATCCAAGGTCATGCAGAATTAAAAAAAAAAAAAAGAAAAGAAACAAAGAAATAGTCAATAGGAAGCAACTCAGGACTTTCAGTTTCCTGTTCTTGCTGCTTGAATAGTTTCACTATCTTTAGAGTTCTTTTCCATTCAGGTAAGACAGAGCCCTATGGGATTCATTCCCCCCTTGTGCAGTCTGCTTAGCTAAGTCATACATTTCTATTGGCCCTATTGATTAGGCATCTGCTTCCTCTGTGAGGATGGTTTGCTCTTGTGGAACCGTGTTTAGCAGCTGTTACAGTTCAGATGAGTGTTGACAGGATGAAAATTAAATTAACACCCAATAACATTTTAACACCTGGTCTAACAACTGCAATATCATTGAATTTCACCTTTTCGAAATTGCTTCGGGAGTTAATTTATCCTTATGTTGACTTTGACCTAAGGAGACACTCCTATAATTTCACTGCAAAAGACTCTCCCTTGGCTGTTCTTTTATAATTTTCATGAACGTTCCTTCTGATCCATGTTCAATGACTGCATGGGCAGCCTCTGGAAAATACTCAGTAGAAATATTCTATTGAAAGATGTGTCACTCTCTTGCTTATAGCTGAAGAGTGAGCACAGACAGAATATGCTAACTGAAGAGGAAGTACAATATACTATATAGCACAAGCCAGACTGATGGGCAAATAACCATCTACTCAGGGACAACAAAGTTGGAAAGAATGCAGTATTCACACACTTAAGACTTCCTAAGGCCTGACGGGCTTGTGAATAATGTCGAGGGGAAGATGTAGAGCATGGTCCTTTTGCTGGTAGACTTGAGTCAGATGATTGCATTGAAAAGTCTGACTTCGCTACTCCCAAGCATGTTACACTGTTTAAGATACTTAAATTCCTAAGATTAAGTTCCTCATAAAATCCAACTAATAATAGTGCCTGCTTCACAGGGTTGTTTGACAATTATAAAATCTATGTAAAAATCTTAAAGTGATAGTGCCCCACAGGCTATGACATATACTAAGCCCTAAGTCTTAGGTACCAATATTATTTCACAGACTACCTGAATTGAAAAAAAGCTTTGGGATCGTTTAATCTTATCCTCTCATTTTACTGTTGCCACAGGAGTTTCAGTAACTTCCTCAAGGATATATATCCACATAGTCGGTGCTAAGAAACAAATCCAGGTTTCCTCATCAGAACTCATATTTTCTTTTTTATAAGACTGACAACTCTTTAATACCCTATTTATTTAGAAAAGATTCTGTGACCATGCTATTTAACTCATTCACTTTTAAGCTCCTTCTACATGTATTTCTCTTCATTCTCTGGGAGAAAGAAATCTTATTATCTGTTATTTGCCAGAGCTATTAAGATGCATACATAATAAAGCTATCATGCTATCATTTGTTGTTTAGATTCCTATCAGATGCTAGATTTTTTGACAAAGATAAATATAACACAGTGCCTATTGGAGGCAAGGGGGAAAATGTTACCATACAACCATACAACAAATACAGTCCAGTTAACAACTGTTAGAAAACAATAATCCATTTAGTGGATTTTCCAAGATCTTCATTTCTCTTCTTGTTTCTGTTGCTTTCAATTTCACTACGAATTATATTTGAAGGGAAGGGAAATTAGTAAAAGGGAGACCTGCATCTTTTAATTTGGTTAGTATCAGCACTTGATTACAATTTTTAGCAACTGTTTTGTATTTCTAGAGACTAATATTCTATTTTAATGAGATTTTTGGATTAAGTGTAAATTGTATTTATTCATCTACTTTTCCCATCTGCATTTTCCCCTATCAATACAGACTCAAGAATTTTGTCCTTCTTTTATGATAGATTCTTCTCCCCTAGTTTTGTTTTGTTTTGCTTCTCATCATGAATATAAAGGTGTGATACTATGAACACAGTCTGAAAGATACAATTGGAGGTGATAATACTTCGAGAAAATTGTATTTTTAAAATTATTTTATCTTCCTTTAAATAAAACATCCCAGAGTCCGGGATTTACAGATAGAAACTACTATACATAGAACAGATAAACATCAAGGACCTACTGTATAGCAGAGGGAACTATAGCCAATATCTTGCAACAACCTATAGCGGAAAGGAATCTGAAAAAGATATATATAAAGAGAGAGAGATGAAACTGAATCACTTTACTGTACATTTGAAAATAACACGACTGTGCAAATAGATTATACTTCAATTTTTAAAAATCCCAATCCTATATTGTTAAATTTGGAAAATTCAATGAAAGCATTAATTTTTTCAGGAAATTTTCTTGTAAAAGAAGATAAAATTTTATGGAGGAAAAAAATGACAGAAGGGAGGAATGGGTATGAGGATCTAACTATTCTAATCTGCTAGTATGAGAAAAGCAGTCTTCCACAAGTGAAAATCAAATGGTGAGAAATGCTGAGTGTTTTCAAAATGTTATTTAACTGCTTAACTGCTTCATTCTCCTAAATGTTTCCCTATGTCCCCTCAGGCAAATGAAGCCTTTGTTACCCTAACTCTAGAAAGGATCTCATAATCCATAACACATAATTTGTAATATATAATCATTAGAGATATATGATATGCTCACTAACACATACAACATTGATTTTTTTTCTATATTTCCCAGAAAAGGTATAAGTATCCTGAGACAGGTATGTTTTTCACTTAATGAACAGTGTAATAATTGTAAAGAAAATTCTTTCTAGCCACTTGAGTATACACTTACAATAGGAATAATGGTTATAAGATTCTCAAGTTCTCATAAATACGATAGCGTTTTTTAATCAATAATTTGCAAAATTAATTACTTAGCATCTGAAAGTACTCCTACTAAAAATAGTACATTCACACCATGGCCAGCATTAATATTTTAGTGTTACATGAGAAGTAAGAACAGAAAAATTTTATAAACCTTCGAATTCAACTAAAATACAGTTGATCATTCTTAAGAGGTCTTAGAAGCAAGTGACACTCTGCTTGTGAATATTTTAATTATTCTGTACTACAAAAAAATGAGGTTATCTAGGAAAGAAATATTATTTCCCTCGGAGAAAGAGAGAGGCACGAGAAAAGAAGAACAGAAATTGAAAAAAGTTCCCATCTATTTCAATGCCAATATATGGATGTATCAAATAATATTTCATAAAATCATAAAACTGGAAGGGTTCCTAACTTTTCATTCAATCCACACCCATGCCTCCTGGAGGGATACAGAAAATTAGAAAAACAGGAAAAATCAACTTTTGATTTTGAATCAAAAAAAGCCATTCATGAGCCCCTGGTTTTATTTATAAATATTCCAAACACAGGAAAAATCACATTACTTTAAATGCTTATCAGGTTCATAATCAATTTGCTCAATTGTGTACAGTATGATCATTTTGGCAATCAAAGCAGTTAGAGCTTCCTTCTGCCATTCAACAGACATTTTTTTAATTACTTAATTTATTAAAAATCCACAGAATCACAAACCTAGAACTAAGGCTAGGGGTCATCTGATAAGAGCACTTCATTTTACAGATGAAGAGACTATGACCATAAAAAAGTGACAGTTTTGCCCATCATCACACAGATAGTCAGAAAAAGACCAAGATTCAAATACAGGGACATTAGCTGGCAGGCCAATATACATTTACTACACCAGATTAATTGTACATCTTCCTTTACTGTTTGTTATTAACACCTAAATGGCAGCAGAAACTAACATGGGTATGAAAACTTTAGAATCTTTTTTTCTATTTGCCAAAGGGAATCAAGATCTTACCCTCTGAGTCATGAATCATACATAATATAGGAGAAGCCATTCCTTCAGATGTTTGCCAGCTTGCCCTTACAGTGCCCTCACCTGCTACAGCAGAAGACTGCTAAAAACTATATCCAACTCAAGAATTTTTTGGAACTGAGTGTTCAAATTTATGTATTTGGTGCTAATATATACTAGCAGGAAAACTGAGTATGTACAAACTGGATATGAAAACTAATCAATATATTATTTGCATATATAAATAATGTATTGCTTCAACATCAAACACGTCTGCTATAAAAGGTCTCTAAATCTCTATTATGGGTATTCTATTAGAAGGATGAGACTCCTAAGCTCTGTTCTGATACTGCTTTGCCCTCACCTCAACAGACTTTCCAGATATTTTCCTGATTTCACTTTTAAAATAAATCACATTAAGAAAAATAACAAACAAGATTACCATGGTATGTGGAATTCAACTTTGTCTACCAAAAATCACCAAGAAAGCAAAAAAGGACCCATTTTCATCAGCATTTAGTCTAGGAATATCAAGAATATAAAATCTTGACCTGGGAATTCCGTGGTACAGATGTCCTTTAAAGCAATCTTAACAGAGACACCTAATCAAGACGTCATGCGGCTGTGGCACATACCTACATCCATGTGAAACACAACCTGTAGAAAGAAGAAGCAGAGAGACCCAATCACTCTTTGGCTGATGTTTTATTTATTACCTCACCACCAAATGTTAAGTAAACAGGAAAGCAGACTTTCTCTTATTTAGAATCATGAGAGGAAAAGTCCTTATCTGGAGATTATGATTTAACATTTTATTACCAAACTGGGAATAATAAATGTAGTCATATTTGCTTTCAGAGAAGAATCAAGGTTAATACATTTATACAAATATTACCTTCCTAAGAAAATAGATATTGAAGCTGAGGCTCCTAGAAGTTCATAAAACTCAGACTGAAGGGAATTGCCTTTAGAATCACTTACACATCCAGGATGAGCTTCAAAAAATAAAGAAATTAGGGGGAAAAAATAATGTGTCTGTAAAATTATATTAAGTATAATTAAAAAAACCCAAATACATATTGCCATCTAATAGAAAATGTTACAAATTAAAATATTTTATTATTGTAGTGATTTCACCAAAAATATATAATTAAAATATTTCTCATCTAAACTACTGATTTTTTTTGAAAGAATGAGTTGCCAAATATTTGAAAAATAATCACATATCCTGAATAAGCTCACAGACTGTAATATTACTACTGCAAAAAGATAACAGTTCAATGTGCAATAGTGAATGTGAATAGTTGGAATTTTTTTCTTGTACTTGTTACATTTTACTGGCATCACTTTCATCCCTTTACTGAAGAATTCAGCACATATCCTAGAACGTAGACCTTCTGTGAAGCAAACTACAATGCAGGGGCATATCCTAGGGAGAGGGCAGAAGTGCCAGGATTCCAAAGAAACAGATTAATCAATGATGGGCAATACTGGACAGTGGGGAAAAGAAGAAAAAGTTTTGCTAACCTAAGGATACCACAACGCTGAAAGAAGTGCCCTCTAGAGCAAAGGTAACTTTTTCTTATTTACAGAACTAAAGACAGTAAACTCAGATAGTTTCTATGTTACAATCAACTTCTGTTCCATATTTGAAACCCAGAATGAATTTGCTAACAAACACATGCAATAAACGATGATTAGCAACCTTGAGTGCATTTAACCCATAATGCAGCAATCTGTTCAAAACTAGCATTAGGGATGGAGAATTAGTATCAACAGTTGAACAACACTATTTCATGGCTGCAACAAAGAGGGTTCCATCATTCAGGGAGAATGTTCATAGATTTAGTCATCTAAATGTTGACCCTCTTCTTAGAATTCTCTAAAAAGTATAATTTTAATTTGCCTTCCAATATTATCCCATCTAAGGATCTAGATGACTTTACCTTTAAAAATGCCTCTTAAAATAACTTCACTTGTTTAGATTTAATTGATTTCTCCCACTCCTACTCTAGGTGGAGATGGAAATCCCATTTTTACCATCTTCAAAACAATTATAATGTTGAAAGTCATTGCATTTGTTCAGGTAATCTTGAGAAGCAGACCAAGATGTGATCAGTCTTTCAAGAAACTTGTTAGAGAAACACCTTCAAAGAATAAAAGGGAGGAAGCAGTAGTAGGCAGAGAAAGCATCCAGACTGCAATGTAGTTCTGACATATCCAAAGGGAGAGGGGCAAGAAGGAGGATTAGGGAGGTAGTCTCAGATTACAGTACAGCTCTAAGAAAATCTCATCCAGAAAGATAGGGAGTTCCCAAGCCAGCCTTGCCCACAGAGGAGTCCAATATCTCATCAGAGTGGGCCAACACCAACACTCCTGCCATACTCAATCACTGGTTGAGAATATCGTAGAAAAACAGGACTTCATTTTAGAAATGGTGGTGGATCCAGAAAGGTGACAGTTGGAAGTGTCTTTAACTATGCTCCCCACAGCAGAAGATCTGAGGTGTCTTTTCAAGATTGCCATAGTAGTTTTTGAATTCTTCTTGCATTTTAAAAGAAGTTCTGAATTATGTCCTAGTGTGTGAAGGCACTTTGTAAATGTTCAAAAATAGGCAAGAATATGTATGTCAATTTACCCCACCAGTTAGAGACAGGGATTCTATCAGAATCACAGTGACAGAGGAATTAAATTGACACTATGCACATTTCCTGCTGACTTGGATAAATAAATCTCTTAATTCACATGGGAAATTTTTTAAAAACCTGAGGACCCTACTTCCACATTCGTAAGTATGCATTATTTTTCTCTTGAAACATATCTTCGAGTAAGTTTTTCAGTTTTTCAGCAACGTGCTTCTTCAGAATATGTGTATCTAAGAATTCCATTCCACTGCTTTTGCAAAATCATACCAGTTTGAGAGCAGATAAAGGAATTTTAGCTTAGTTACTGATAATGTATCATAAGGTGGGGCCCACATGTCTCTCCACAAATAATTTTTAAAAAAACAAGAACTACAGCATGTAAGGACAAAGGGTTGAAATTAAGAAGTTCCAAGGCCACTGAGGAACAACTGGAGAAATAAATTTAACTACATAGAAACTATGGTGGGTATTTGAATTTGCTTTTCCATACTAGAAATACATACAAAATCATATAGCTTACTTTTTTGGAAATTGACTCCTAGAAGTGAATTAGTTGCATTCACGTGGTATTTGGCACTTACCAGGGGCTAGCAAGCACAGATAAGAGTGCTTTTGTCTGTTCTGTTCCCTCATCACTAATTATCTGCTTATAGATGGCAGTGGTAGTAGGTGTGGCAACAGCAGGGTTTTGCTCTGTGGTTATCACAGCTATGGTGTTTTGACTCTGTAACAAAACTTCCAATGGCAACCTCTTCACAATGCTTCTGTCAAGACCTAACTTCCTTATGGAAACAACTAATTCCCTGTAAACATCCAATTCCCTGTAGTAAATCTCTTTCTGCTTGGCTTCATTTTCTTAAACAAAAACCTTAACTGATATTCAATGACTATAACAGAGAACTGCATGTCTAATAGGGAGATAAACTGACTGAAACCATAAGCTGAAGGACTTACTTATGACCATACTCAGATCTTCCAAAGAATCCTGTGGAAGAGGATTCCTGGTAGGGAATACTTGAATGTTTACAAGCTCACTGGTAGATTTTGATGCAGCTAGGGAGAGGAAAGCTTCCAGAGACCAGTTCCTAGTACTTAATCAGAATATCTCCTTGTGTTGAAGAGTGCTTCAGAGTTTACAAAGTGGAACCATCTGAGCATTTTTCAGTTAGTGTCTGAGACAAATGGAGCTAAACATGAGAAATGTTATTATCTGTTCTGTAGATAAGGAAACAGTCTCAAAGAGATTTTCATAATTGGCAACTAGTAGTCTAAATAAAACTCTGCTTTTTGCCTTGCAGTATACTTTATCCAGTACAATACATTCTCTCCACATAGTAATTTCTCCCACACAATAGTAAAGTTTTTTTTAAAATATGATTTGAACTCATAGATGAAATACTTAACTATTCTACAGAAATTGGAAAAAATTGGAAAAAATTTATATACTATAATCTAATAAATAATAAAAAATACACTTATCACTGATCTCTTAGCACAACTAAAACGTGCAATAGCAGGCCTAACGGCAACCTCATTTTCCATGTCTAATAACATCCTGAAACTGCATATATGTTTTAATTTTTGTCTTCAAAAGACACTACCTGTCTTATTCTCTTGTGATATTATCATTACCCATTTTTTCCTCCTCTTGGTGGTCATACCTTTCTATTCTATACCCATTTAATGGATATCCAGAGTTACTGAAATTTATAACACTAGTATCATGCAATATTACCATGAAGAATTTAAAGCACCAGACGGTAACATGCACAGCACAAAAGTAATCTGTTTTATGAGATATATTAGTATGAATGGGGTATACGCCAAAGTGAGCAACAGAAAAGAAGTAAATGACACAGAGGAGTATAATCTATCTTACAGCAGGCTATCTACCATGGTCAACCCAAACTAAATGTTTCTGATTCTACAATTTGAGGTGACATGCAATTCACATTTATTCAACCCAAAAATTACTGCAATTTAATAAAATACAACTAAAATTAAATCCATATGCTATTATTAATACTGAATAAAAAGAATGAAGCTCAAGGAATAACCCTCCCAGACTTCAACCAATACTAGAGAGCTCCAGTAATTAAAACAGCATGGCACAAAACAGACATATGGATCAATGGATCAGAATAGAAAGCCCAGAAATAAACCCACACACTTACAGTTAATTCATCTTTGACAAAGGAGGCAAGAATATAAAATGAAGAAAAGACAGTCTCTTCAACAAGTTGTGTTGGGAAAGCTGGACAGCCACATATAAATCAATGAAATCAGAACACTCCCTTATACCATACACAAAAATAAACTCAAAATGCCTTAAGGACTTAAATATAAGACACTTCCTAGAAGAGAATGAGGGCAAAACATTCTCTGATATAAATCATAGCAATGTTCTCCTAGGAAAGTCTATGAAGCAATAAAAATAAAAGCAAAATAAAAAAATAGTACCTAATTAAAATTATGAGCTTTTGCACAACAAAAGAAATCATAAATAAAATGAAAATACCACCTACAGAATGGGAGAAAATATTTGCAAATGATGCAACTGACAAGGGCTTAATTTCCAGAATATACAAACAGCTTATACAACTCAGTAACAAAAAAACAAACAACCCAATCCAAAAATGGCAGAAGACCTAAACAAGCAGTTCTCCAATGAAGATATAAGTATGGCCAACAGGCACATGAAAGAATGCTCAATATTGCTAATTATCAGAGAAATGCAAATCAAAACTACAAAGAGGTATCACCTCACCCAGGTCAGAATGACCATCACTAAAAAGTCCACAAATGATAAATGCTGGAGAGGGTGTGGAACCATGGAAACTCTCCTACACTGCTGGTAGGAATGTAGTCTGGTGCAGTCATTATGGAAAACAGTATGGAGATTCCTCAAAAAATTAAAAATAGACTTACCCTATCATCCAGCAATCCCACTCCTGGGCATATATCCAGAGGGAACTCTAATTTGAAAAAATACATGCACCCCAATGTTCATAGCACTAGTTAAAACAGTCAAGACATGGAAGCAACCTAAATGTCCACTGACAGATAAAGAAGTTGTGGTATATATATAATGGAATACTAGTCAGCCATAAAATGAATAAAATAATGCCATTTGCAGCAACATGGATAAACCTGGAGATTGTCATACTAAACTAAGTGAAGTAAGCTAGAAAGAGAAAGAAAAATGCCATTTATCACTTTTATGTGGAATCTAATTTAAAAAGGACACAAATGAACTTATTTATAAACCAGAAGACAGACTCACAGACATAGAAAACAAACATATGGTTACCAGAGGGGAAAGGGAGTGAGGA